GAGGAGGAGGAGGAGGAGGAGGAGGAGGAGGAGGGGGGATAGTGACCCCAGGGAGAGGAGGAGGTGGAGGAGGTGGAGGTGGAGGAGGAGGAGGTACTACAGACTGTCTGGATTGTGCAGCTCCTCCTGAAGGAGAAGTAGGAGATGTAGAAGGATGCTGATGCTGACATGAACACCTGAAGCCGTGGAGGCTGGACGGAGGAGGTGGGTGCAGAAAACCGTTGACTCCACCAGAATCGGTACCAGGCACTTTGAACTTAAAGCTGTCGTCCATGGGGGACGTCTGCACAGACTTGGCCTCCAGGACGCCCAAGGGTGGAGGAGCTTCGGTCTGGAGGTGGGCGTCACACACGACAATCAGCAGCCCCTCCTCACCTCCACACTCCCTGTCTGTGGTGGCGGTGACAGGTCTGACATAGTCCAGCAGAGGGGGCTGTCGCTCCAGCTCTGCGATCTTGGTCCTCAGGTCCTCGATGGTTTGTTCAAGCTGCTGGATGACGTTGACGTGTTTCTCCTTCAGCTTCATCGAGGACTGGAGACGTTCCTCCTACAGAGGGAGGGGGGAGGGAGGGAGGGGGGGGGGTCAACAGGAACCAGACCAAACAGGCTGTTACTGGGCCAGACCAACGGTACTGGAACAAGAACAGCTGTAATCTTAATTAAAAACAACAGTCATCCTTACAGAAGAGTACTGGAACTATTCAGAAAGTTCCAGTTCCAGAGGTTTGGTGTGGACTCTAACTAATTATTACTAATTATGGTGATGATTCTAATTAAGACTGAGTGATGAGGGACTGACCTGATTCTCTGGGCTCTCCTTCTCCTTCTCCTCCTGCTGATGATGCTGCTGCTCTTGCTGTAAATCCAACATGGCCGCCTGAATGTCTGGACACAGAAACATTCAGAGTCAGACTGTAGCTGCGGTCCTGTACTGTACTATGTTCTATAAAGTGGTACAGTCAGTGGTCTGGCTGTGGGGACTCCTGCCTCCGTGTCTGTTCTGACGTTTGTGATTTTCTTCTAAACCATGTGGAACCGTCCCTCTACCAGAGGAAGAAACATTTGACCTGTGACGAGGGTCCATGTCTGACCTGTCTGACCGTCTTCTTCACACACCAGAGAATCCTCTGTGGGTTTGAGTCCAGTCCTGGTGTCTGATCCAGGTCTGGTCAGGGGTCCGGGGCCCTTCATCTGCCCCGGGGTCCTCAGGTCCCACAGGTCCAGGGAGTGTGGGGGCTGGTTCACAGCTGCCCAGGTGTACAGCTGCTCATGCTGAGGACACAGGTCAAACCAACACTCCTTAATAATGACGCTCATGAGTGACAGTGGTGGCACAGCCTGCTGCCCCCTGCTGGCCTATTGTTGAAAACATAGTTGGATTCTATTCCAATCTATTACATTCATATAAAGTCCCTTTCTTTTTGACCTGTTTACAACACAAAGAGCGCCACCTAATGTTTCATCATACAGCTACAAATGAAGAAGACAAAAACAAACATGTATAATTAACAACGACAACAACAACAACAACAATAATTATTATAACAATAATAATAATAATAATAATTAACAGCTTATTGCTCATTTGTTTGTCTCCCAGCACTTACATCAAACTTGGCTGCAGGTGCAGCAGTGATCTGCGCACTGCTGCCACCTAGCTGCTCCCTGAAGCAGTCAGTGAATGGCAGCAGGAGGCCCATGGCCAGGATCCTGGAGCAGAGCCTCTCAGCCTCCTCAGGCTCCTCTTGCTGCTGCTGCAGGGACAGCTTTTCCAGCAGCGTCCGACCTGAGAGGACACAGAGAGGAACCCGGGCTGACTTACCTCCACCTGACGTAGACAGAACTCAGAACTGTTGGTGCAACTCACCTGTGAAGACGTCCTGGAAGCCACAGGTGGACATCTGTCCACAGGACGACCTTCTTGTGCTACATATGGGCTGGCTGCCTCCCGCTGTTCCCCTGTAGGCGTCCAGGAACTCCCCTGAGCCGCTGGAGCCTCCTCCGTCCTCCTCTCTGCTCCTCCACCTCCTCTCCAGGTCCTCCGTCCAGTCGGCCGAGCGGCTCAGACGTCTGGTCAGGCTCCGAGAGCGCCGGCGCCGGGTCTGGTGGCCCTCAGCCATGGTCCTGTCAACAAAACATCTGTGTTAGCTGCAGCATCATCGTGTTGTTGAGTCACACTGCAGCCTTTCATCATCTGAACCTCCTCCTCCTCCTGCTCCTCCCCCCCCCCCCCCCCCCCCCCCCCCCCCTCCCTTCTCCACCTTTTTTCCAC